CTTCTGACACCACTGTGTCTGTGTTCATCCAGTTCTACACCTTGTTATCACATAAATGCAAGTCTTCCTTTTTCTGCATATTAACCAAGCGTCACCCACAGGAAGGAAGCAGCACCTTGTTTTACATATGCAAATTAGGACCAGTGATATAATCAGTATCGGATTGTAATTTTAACTTAAAGCCCTTGACACAGTGGTGTCAGAAGATGGGGCCAGCGCTAGGTTTGGTTTTTAATTCTTGACGGGCAAAACCTAGAACCTAGATTCCTGGACATAACCTGGAGCTCAGATCCTGGGACAAAATCAGAAGCAGATCCTGGGTAGAAGAGACCTAGCAGGTAAGATTTTAGACAGATTTTTCAGGTTTTTTTAGCAGGTTCAGTATGAAGTCTCTAAGTCCCTGGGCCTTGCTGAGTAATTCAAGTACTTCAACCACTATCATAACCAAACCTGTTTCCACATTAATATCAGGAATGTTGTGTAGTAAACACATCACCAGCAGTAAAAATAAAGCAGGTTTGTAGGCCCAAAACCACTGCAAAAACTTAATCTGATCCGCAAGTATTATTTTGAGGTTATTGATCCCAAGGAAATAATATCATTGGCATTTGTTTTTTGTTTAAAACATTAATAATGATGAAAATAATACATAATGCCACTGATGTATTTTCCAGGAATTCTGATGCTGAGCCAGATGTAATGTTGAGCAATACTGCATATTTCACAATTTAATTAAAATTATCATTTAATTCTACCTGCCACGAATTTTACTTAATGTGTTTTTTTAAGTAAGAGTGTGTAAGCATGTTGTGTTCTCTGTAATGTATCAACGATCTCTATCCAGTGTTGTGCTCTGATGAACTGTGTATTCTCTCTTCCTTGTGTTTTACTTTTTTTTGAAATCCACAATTTTTCTATTGCTGAGTAATCATATGTGAGGTTATGTACTTTGGCAGGAAGAAGAAGAGCTGAATATTCTTTAAATGGAGAAAGACTGCAGAAAGCTACATATACAGAGGGAGTTGACAATCCTTGTAATTGAATCACAAAAAGCCAACACGCAAGTTGAGCAGGAGGCTGAATGCTATGTGCTTAGCTATTGGATGTGTTTTTCAGGGTCTTGTGGTGCAGTTGCAGTGTGTCAAAACATGTGCAAGCCGGTTGATTAAAAAAAATTACAAGTTCATCAGGTAATAGAGAAGGCAAATAGAAGGTTGGCTTTTACTTCAAATGGAGTGGAGTTTAAAAATAAGGAGGTTTTGCTAAAATTACACAAGGCACTAGTCAGACCATACCTGGGATACTGTGAACAATTCAGGTCCTCTCATCTAAGTAGTCCAGAAAAGGTTCACTAGCACTGAGGGATTGTCTTATAGAGAAAGATTGAGCAGGCTGGGCCTGTACTCATTGGAGGTAAGAAGAATGAGATGAGACCTTATTGAAATATACAAGATTCTTAAGAGACTTAACAGGGTAGATGTGGAGAGGTTATTTCCCTTTGTAGGAGAATAAGAGATTATCCATTTAAGACAGATGAGGAGGAATTTCTTCTCTGAGGGTTTCTGTATCAAAATTCTTTACACATAGGTCTGTTGAAGCTGTGTAATTAAGAATTTTCAAGACTGAGACAGATTTTTAATCAGTAAGGGAAACAAAGGCTATGACGAAAAGGCAGGAAGGTGGAGTTGAGGGTTATCAAATCAACTGTGATCTCATCGAACAGCACTGCAGACTTGATGGGCCAAATGGCTGTTGTGCACAGCCACCTTCAAAAAGTGGTATGATGTGGCACAGCCAAATTAACTGGACAGTTTGGTGATAGTGCTTCTTTCCAATAAATGTGTTTGCAAAGTAGGCTTAGCTTTTAATAGAGAGATGTACTGAATAAGGACTTGTCCACAGAAGTGAATGCCAAACCAAAAGGGAGCACACTAAAGTCTCGCAACTATCCACCAAAAGCAAAATGGCAAGAGAATAATACAGGAAAGAATTAAAATCATTGAGGAACAGTTTTATAAATACAATAGTCCATTAAATGTGTTAAAAAAACTCAAGGTAAATCATGTTGTATATTAAACAATAACAAAGATAAAGCTTTTATCTTGCAATTAAATGTTAAATTCACAACTTGCAGCAATATAATAGGACTTGTTGGAGAATAAAGGGAAAGGGCACCTACTCAAAGAATGGTTATATTTACACATTTAATAATGTAGCCCCAAAACACAAGTCTATGACTCAAACAACTCCTGGTATGTTGGTGGAGAGCCACCTTCCGGACACGAAGCTAAAATACTCAAAATTCTTCTCATTTCAAACTTGAATTTTTATCTGTGAAATGAGAATGGAGCCCATTCCTAAAGTTGCTCTAAAAACACTATACAGCTGTAAATGCTGCAGATTGAGGAAAAGATGGATCTGAGGCTATCCAAAGTCATGGCTTGTAATTTTGAAGTGTCTTATGGAACAGTGCGCAGACCTTCAAAGACGGAAAGCATTTCATACATCTATAGCTCTTTAACTGCTATCCCTTTCATCGGGAAAAAAAACATTTTGTGTATTGAGCTTTGAAAACAATACTTCATTTATCCAGATTAATGAAAGGCTGTTTCACTCACATTGAAGTTTAACGTATACTGTGTGACAATCGGCTAGAGCTTCTTACAAAGAAAATCAATGGGAGAAGTTCTTCCAAACAGCAAGAATTAATTATAAACATTTTGTTCCTGCAGGATTGCGGACACAATAAACATGGAATTCCCCTGAGTGTTTTACAATCTTGGACTTTCTAAAATTCAAATCTAATATCCGACAGTGCAATGGTAAGAAGACACTTCTTTTAACGATTTAGGTCAATTCTTAATCCTGAATTAATTACTTGTTTGTTATGTAATTTCAAGCAATACATGTACAATTCGGTTTCCAGGCTTGAACTGAAATAAACCATGGGCCAAAATTTTACTGGAGAATGGCATCTTGTGGCATGTATTGTTACACTCTTGCCCCTCAATGTGAAATGTTTTTGCAACATAACTTGCTGGGAAAGTGAATTAACAACTGGACTTTTGGGATTTCAAAATACAAGAGGACCAACAGTCTATCTCTCTTAACTAAACAGGGCTATGGATTGAGAAAAAATAAACAAACGATGGAGAAGGAAATTGGATGACTTAGCATGTAATCAGGTACAGAAAGAGAAACAAAGATTAGATTGAGAGATACAGATAAAGAGACAGAATCAAAGTTAAAAATGATTAAATCTCCAATCCCAATTACAACCTGCAGAATCGAGATTCCACAGTTTTAATTGCTCCTTTTCTGGGCCAGAGTGGTTGAATGGCATTAGAGGAAGATGAATCTCATTAAAATGAGGCTGTTAAGTATTAGACCTAACTTTCTGCAGTCAGTTTAATTGGTAACAAATGCAGAAATACAGCAGTCTATTGAAATTCACGGGAGGTGGACAACGAGATGTCATTTCTGAGTCCAAAAGAGGTATGATGCAACTTGTCATGTAACGTGAGGTGACTCACAACTCAAAGTGGATCACTTTCTCAACACATGTTCAATGAAGATTTGCAACACTTTTTTTTTCACAGTTAGAAAATCAAATGTTTCAGG